AGTACGTTTTCTTCTTCTTTTTCCTTTCTTCTTTATACGGGGGATAGTACAGGTTATACCTATCGACTTTTCTGCCTGCCTCTTCCTTCTCCCTCTCTCTTCTTGGCACTAGCCCATGCTCCATGGCGTGTCATGTCCATCCCGCTAAGTCATCACCAATAGCCTGATCCGAGGGCCTCCGAGGTCCTCCGAGAGAGGAAGCGGCACAGCACACACGTATCTCACCGGTATTAGCACGCTGTCCTGTCCATCTTGAAACGAGATCTCCCCCTTGTTAGGTAACGATGTGTTGTCCTATCGTCTTCCAGCCTCCAGGAAATACTAAGGGGCGGAGGGGGGGTTGCGACACCTATCACTTACAGAAACTTACGAGTATCGTACAGCCGACTACGTATGTACAGTCCCACTAACATGGGCAAAATGCTGACGTCCAGCGGGGACCAGGCTACTGCTGCTTCTAGGAAATAATACATGTACACCGCATTTCGTCGAATCGATCCATAATACTGTACTCTTACTCGTATCAGTAATCTGTACTTGTTTCCGGAACAGCAGGAGAGAGGGAGAGAGATAAAAGGCGCAGCCATGTGGGAAAACACGCCCACCGCAATTGGTCGCGTGTCCATGTTGGAGAAGAGTAGCACGTCACCTTGTCAGTATCCAGTCGTGATTATGACACACTAGACTACGAGCACAGGCAGCGACTTGGTTAATTGGCTGTTAAATCGTCCCTTGCCTTTGCTATTGGCCTTTGTCACTTGACAGATTGGCCAACTAGCTTGAGCGAGATCAAGATATCTCAAGTTGATGACAGGTGTGAGCCAAGGGCAGAAAGACGAAGAAAATGGAGCAGGGCAGGTCTCTTCACCACATCAAGTGAGCAGACCTCATTGAAGAAATCCGTGTACGCATAGTAGTCAGGTATGATATCACTGAGGCTACGAGGATACAGAGTTGTTTCTTTCGAAATCCGATGATTCATTTGCCGGTTTGACACTGTCTACTATCGCAGTGTTACCCTATTTGGACGCCATCCGTTTTTATTTTCCTCACATTCCCAATCGAAATCATTTAAGCCTCCTGCTGGAAAGCCTCAGGGAAACGGCGCATGTTCTCGGCAAGACGACCGTGGTTGCTGAGGAACTGGACGTAGGCACCGTCGACCTTGACACGGCCGGCGGCCTTGCGCTCCAGGTACTCGTCACGGCGGAGAGGGGTGAAGCCCCAGTTCTTGGAGACGATGATCTTCTGGCGACCGGGGAACTTGTACTGAGAGCGGCGGAGAGCCTCGAGGGCGAGAGCACGGTCTTTTTTTTGTTAGCACATGATTTTGTAGAGACGAATATAATGATGGCTGGCAAAGAAAAGAAGAGGACATGGGGAAGGAGGAGAGACATACTAGAGTCACGAGTGCGGACAGACATGATGATCTGGCCGATGTTGACACGGGCGACGACACCGTTGGGCTTGCCAAAGGCACCACGCATACCGGTCTGCAGCCTATCGGCACCAGCGCACGACAACATCTTGTTGATGCGGACGACGTGGAAGGGGTGGGCACGGACACGGAGGTGGAAACCCTCCTTGCCACTGTGCTTCACCAGGTACTTGTTGGCGCAGATACGGGCGGCCTCAAGGGCCTCAGAGCCTAGCTGCTCATACTCGTTGGAGACAAGGTGGATGCAGAGAGGGAAGTCGTCGACGTTGGCACGCTTGCGGCCCAGATCAAAGATGCGGATCTTGGAGTCAGGGACACCACGGTTGAACCGCGACTTGGGGTACGGCTAGCGTTCTCGCGTGTCAGTTAACTTTTTTTTTTCTCGGGAGGGACTGGTGATGATGATGAAAAGGAATTCTGGGTCGAGGCTATCTCCGCGCCTGCCGGGATACGGAGGCACACAACGCAGGCGATGGTGCAGCCTCCAACCTTGGCCGACATAAAAATGATCCCAGAAATCCCATCCACATCATCGCAAGAAGAAAGAGCTAACCTTGTTCTTGCAGTAGCGGTAGCAACGAGCGGGACGACGCGCCATCTTGTCGGTATTGCTGGTTGATCCTTGGGTGGGTTGGTGATGAATGGGGATGAGTTCGGCAGAAAAAAAGATCCCACCTCACATACCTTGCTTTCTCGCCCTGTGCGCTCAGTAATCCACACTCACACCTGATTTCAAAGCAATTTGACTCATCAAAGTGGTGGCGTCGCCTAATCCCCGGCTCTTTAGGGCTTTGTGCAGTTGATGCTCCACGTCTTTGATTGGCCACAGTCTCCCAGGTTGGCCCTGCCCCACCCAAGGATTCTGTTCGGTCTAAACCACCACCACAGAAATTATCGTCAACTTTTTTTTCTTCCTCTAGCTTGAACATACTAACACCACCATCCCACCCAACAGCCAACTTTCCTCTCCCCAAGGAACAATACCGACGAAATGGCCCCTACCAAGAAGAGCAAGAAGGATGCCAACAGCATCAACTCCAAGCTTGCGCTTGTGATGAAGTCTGGCAAGGGTACGTCAATTCGTTGCTCACAATAAATGAAAAAAATATGAGGAAAAAAAGAGACAAAGACGAGATCATCCTAACATGTCCGGTTTTTACAGTCACTCTCGGCTACAAGTCCACCCTCAAGAGCCTCCGCTCCGGCAAGGCCAAGCTTATCATCATTGCCGGGAACACGCCCCCTCTCCGCAAGAGCGAGCTCGAGTACTACTCCATGCTGTCCAAGGCTCCCATCCACCACTTCTCTGGCAACAACGTAAGTGCCGTCACCGCCAACACCGCCTTTTGTCCGGGTTGAGACCCTCTCACTTATGTGGAGTGGTTGAAACGCCCTGATTTTGCACTATTGCAAAACTTCTATGATCTGCTATGGCTCCGAGTGTGTCGAATAAAAAGAACATTCCCAGCGGCCTACCCAGAGAAGAAGTCTTTTCCAGACTTTGGAGGGTTCACTCTTGCTTACACGTATTTCCCCCCTTCTACAGATTGAGCTCGGTACTGCTGCCGGTAAGCTCTTCCGCTGCGGCACCATGGCCATCCTCGACGCCGGTGACTCGGACATCCTCAGCGACCAGCAGGCTTAAGCTTGTTCCAGGAGAGGAAAGAAAAAAAAGTCCAGTGATAAAATAAACAAAAAGAATTGAAGAAATGGGACGATGCATTCTACGGCGTTCAGGACAAATCGGTTATGGGCACCTGAGGGGAAAATACCAGTCAATGTAATGCGATATGAGATGGCCTGGGGGGTTTATTAGCCCCTCCGCCTTGCTGCGTTCAATCAACGACGCAAGGCGTTCAGTTAGCCTCAATGATTACAATATAGCTCCAGATCTTTTTGTCCCCACCAAGGACATGTTCATACTGTTTTTATTTCCTTTTCTATATCATAGAATTATTCGCCATGGTCACGGTAAACATCATGAACGTTTGCCGGACGAACAAGGTACTACTGACACATCGATCTGGGCTTATTAAATGTCCATTCATGCGCATTGCCTACTCCCTGGCGATCAACAACGCGAGCCCATGGTCATCAGGACACTGGTTGCATGACTTGGCAATCTCCATCTTCATGGTGGCCAACGTGCACCAGCCGGGGCTTTGCACCAGCCCTCACTTCGGATCGAGCCCTAATAAAATGCTTACATCAGTCAACAGCCCAACTCACATATCTCGTGCCTGTACAGATTACTCCGTACACTACTACTACTATTAGTATTACTACTAGTATCACTACTAGTATTACCACTAATATTACTACTAATCATAGTAGTGAGTCCCTGACACGACTTCATACTGGAAACCCCATCCGTTCCAAGCTACATGCATCCAGTAGCCTCTGAACCTTCCCCACAGGACGGAGAGTGAGAAGAGAAGAGAGTTGCCGCCATACAAGGCTCAATACGAATGATAAAACAATGTATACAGATGTACGCATGGCACATACTATACTCGTGCACGCGCGTACAAGTATACATGTAGACGTAAGGGGGCATGAAGAGGGAGAAAGGGAGGATAATTGCGGATAGTGGTGGTGCGAGAGTGCCGGTGTCAGAGATGATGGGATGTGGCGTTAGACTGTTTGGGGCAGTGGCTCTCTGAGAAGCACCAACTGTTGGCAACGCTCTAGCCACACACGTACTTATGCCTGTATATGTACTAATAACAACTTGAACGGTGCGAATATTAGTGCTCGTATATTACTCGTAATAACTTGCCAGAGTACGCATGGACAGTCTCTGGTCTGATCAAATAGTAATAATATTATTATTATTCCTGCAGTCGCGGGTACCGTACTTGCGTAGCAATGAGTACAACAACACGGTCAAGACCCCTTTAGGCATGGCAGTTCCTTCAGGCTCCGTGGATACCCATCGGCCCCTCTTCCGCCCCCTAGTCAACAATCTGCAGGCGGTTGCCCAGGAGTCAAGGGCCACAGTAAAATGATACATTGATAATATCCCTTCTGCGCAGGACAAGGACCACAGAGCACCCACCACCCCAGACCATCCCATCCAAGGTCAGACCAGCTGCGACCTTTCATTTCAGGATCCTGCCTCTCTCACTCTTTCTCTTTTACTCTCCCCCCCAAACTCTGGCAGACAACTGAGTGTATTCGTATTATTTCCCATCGAGCTCTTTTTTTACTTGCAAATTCACCGACGACGACAGGTCCGGTTTAGCGGATCCTCATTCTTCAGGGTCACCCCCCCCTCCCTCCAAGTCAGATTTACACGTTGCTTCTTTCTTGCGACACGTGTGTTACTTCTCAACTAATACCCTGCTACCGCCCCTCGCCCGCCTGTCGACGGCGCCTTTTGTTCATTCACCGATCGAGCAGAGGAGACGAATATATATATAAAAACGTCACAAGCGGAGGGAGAAGAAAAAAAAAAGAAAGAAGAAAAGAGAAGTATGTCATCAACGACGGGGCCCAAGAAACCTGCGTCGGGGGGTGTAGGACGTGTGGCCAACTCTGAACCAGGCGGTCGGTCACCCAGCCCCTCGCTCTCGCGCAGCAGCTCCCAGCGATCCACGAGTACGACGACGGGTACAGCACCGGCTGGCGGTCACGCTCGGACACGGTCGACCCGCACAGGGACGCCGGTGTCGGCCCGCGCCGCCCTTCAGCGTCGGGACACGATCAGCATGAGCAACGCCGAGTCGGACGCCAGGGCTGAGGCTGCCTCGGCCGTCGAGGACCTCCAGCAGCGTCTAGAGAAGGAGGAGAAGCTGTCGGAGCAGTACAGGAAGCAGAACGACGTGCTGCAGTCGAAGCTCGAGGAGGCCATCAAGGACTCAGGCAAGATGGAGGAGAGGACGCACGAGCTCGAGGAGCTGGTCGAGTCGCTCAAGAACGAGAAGCGCGAGGCCACCCGCCAGATCCGGGAGATGGAAACCATCTACGAGGCAGAGAAGAGCTCCATCCTCAAGGAGAAGGAGGAGATGACCAATCGAGAGGAGGAGATGCAGACCGTCATCCAGCGTCTCAAGGACAGCCTCAGCCAGCGCAACAACAATAATACTGACGACGAGAGTCGTACTTCTAGACAAGGTAAGCTGTCCGAACCCCCTTCCTCTTCTTGACTTCGACGATGATTCTGTGCTGACCAAGTCTTGTCTTCCCCTGCAGCCAACTCGTCGTCCCCCTCGTTTGACGGCAACAGCTTCGCCCCTCCGTCGTCCCTCCAGCGCAGCGATTCCCGCAACAACTCCAAGCTCATCCTCCAAAAGGACAAGCTCATCGAGTCACTCCGTCTGGAACTAGCCGAAGCGCAGATCAAGCTGGTCGAGTCAGAGAACCAGGGCGGCGGCCGCCTACAGGAGGTGGAGCGGCTTCTCATGGAGGCCCGCATGGCTAACGCGCGTCTGATGGAGGACAACGAGAGCTACCAGCTTCTCCTTCAGGAGAGGACGCTCAAGGGCGACTTTGGGCAAAACGACTTCAGCTACATGGGCAGCAACGCCAACCAAGACGCCCTCGATGCGCTGGAGGGCAAAGGTGCCGGCAACGGCGGCGGCGGCGGTTCCAGCCTGGCAGACGAGCTCGACGAGGCGGCCGACGACACCATCATCTCGACAGCAACTGCGGACGTTGCGGGCGTTGGCGCCGGCGGGGCCGGCGGGGCCGGTGCTTCTGGCGAAGCGGAGCGACGACTGGAGGCGGAGCTCAAGTCTATGAAGGAGCAGAACAAGGCACTCACTCTGTACATCAACAAGATCATCGAGCGTCTCCTGCAGCACCACGACTTCGAGTCTATCCTCGATCAGTCGGGCGACATGAACCCACCCACGACGGGTGCAGGCGCGGCAGACACGAGCAAGGACCTGCCTCCGCCACCGCCCCCGTCGTCGGACAAGCCTCAGGCGGCGACATCGTTCATCCAGCGAGCCAAGTCGATGGCGGGTGGATCCAACCGGATGTCCGCGGGCCCGCCGCCGCGTCCGATGTCGTACATACACTCGACGGCCAGCTCTGCACACACGGACCCAGACACGGCGCCCAGCATCCCGATCGGCAACCTGACGAGGTCAGCCAGCAAGCGCCACTCGCGGCCACGCAGCGAGCAGTACACGGGATCCAGCAGCGGGGCCGTCAGCCTGGTGAGCCAGATGTACAAAGGACCCGACGGGCCGACGTCGCCGACGCTGGGCAACCCGCGACACTCGCAGTCCTTCTTCGCGCCCGGCGTGCTCCCCATCAACGGCGGCAACGCCAACTCGGCGGCGGCGGCGCGCGTGCCCAGCAGCAGCGGCAGCGTAAACGGCAGCCAGCACCAGCCGTCGTCAAGCGGCAACTTCCCGGGGATGCGCAGCGAGACGTCCAGCGTCAGCGGAGACTCGGCGGGAGACCTGTCGACGCCGCCGTCGCAGTCGCCGCCCCGCTCTCACTCGGACAAGGGAACCACATTCACCGGCGGAAAGCCCCGTCCTCTCAGGCTGGTGCAGGAAAACCCCGAGGTGGGCGGGGTCAAGGAGAACAAGAGGGCGAGCTGGATATCCGGATGGAGCAACTGGGGTAAGAAGGAGGAAGGGTCATCGGGTGACCCGATTCCTGAGTAGCATCTTGCTATCGAGAACCCGACCACCGTCTACATGACGCGAGTCTCTTCTTCCCTCACTCTTCTTTTTTATCCTCTCTTCTTCTTCATCGTCATCTTCTTCTATCCTATTCCAACCCGGTGTTTTTTTTTCTTTTTTTTTTTTTCTTCCTTTTTCATGACACCGGTTTTTTTTATATACATCATGTGTCACCGAGTTTTTCTTCCCCCTTCTTTTTTCTTTTTTTTGAAAAAAAAAAGACTGTCATGAGCATGGGATATATTGCGGGATTATAATGATGGCATTTTGCGCGTTGTACTATGAAGAATAGGAGTCTACACAAGCTTCTCTTTTTCTCTCTCTTCTTCTTGATTATCCTGTGTATTGCTTCGAAAAGAAAGAATCATATTCTCCCTGATATATATGTATATTGTAGGATTTACATGCAATGTTTACATGTAATGGGGTGGGACAAATATTCTGGAGATCAGTATGAATTTATCGCGTGATGGCAGTATGGGGACATCACGACAGCTCGAAGAATCGATGAATGCACAATTGTTTATCTACACAAGCTGCGCTGGACGTTGAGATTGGCGGTCGAGGCTCCGTACCTGTAATACCGACGCTGTCTTCAGGATTACTCGACTTGACGAGTCAGATGGGGGAGGCAGAGAGATTGAAGGAGAAGAAAATAGAGCATGTGACTCAATAGGAGGAAGAAAATGCTGTGAGTCGATCTCCCCCCCCCCCCCCCCCCTCCTCCGAATACCCTTTACCCCCTTCTGTACCGTGAGTCCATGACAGGGATTCTTGTTTTTTTTTTTTCTTTTTTTTTTTCTTTTTTCAGTCTCATCTGGTACGGGATTGATTATCAATGTGTGTGTGTGTGTGTGTGTGTTGTGTGTGTGTGTGTTTTGGAGAAAGGTCTCATCCCCTGTATGAGTAGTAACAATGTTTAATTCACGAATCAACTGGTCAACAGAGTAATGCTCCTTCACTCGTTGTGGTCTTATTTGTTTGCGTGTGTGTGTGTGTGTGTGTGTGTGTGTGTGCGTGATCCACTAAGACCGGAGGAGGGGGATTTCAATGTCGTGTCATGCTGTGAGAGGTGGACTCTTTCTGGGACAGCAGTCACAGGCACAGAGTAAGTCGTAGGGTTCATATTCATCTTATTTTTACTTCATATCTTTATTTCTTTTATCTTTTGTCTCTACAGGTGAAGAAAAGGGGGGGCGCGGTTTTCGGTGTACGGAGTAACTGGCGAGTGATGCATACCCTTGTTTTTGGAGGAATTTCAAATGGCAAGACAAATGTTCCTCTTTTCGAAACGACTGGACTGACTCTGTGAGTAATTATCCGTACAGCTATGTGAATATAGAAGAGAGGTGTAGAAGAGTGTAGAGGTGTGTGTGTACATATGTAGGGGTGATTCAGCACTCTGATCGCGTGATATCTAATCTGTACAGATTACGGGAGCTAATCCATAGTTACCCTTCGGGCCTCAGGGGATAACGCAGGCACCCGTCGCGACCGTTGCGGTGGCGGATAATGATTGCCCTTCCAACCGTTATCGGCCATGTGGATGATGTGGATGGATGATCATGGGGAAACCCGGTGAGATCATCTGGTCAGACCCATCGCTCATCCTCGCAGGTTCACTTCTTACCTGAACGGGTAGGGATAATACCGGTACGACTGTGGTCTGGTTCGACGGTGGTTATCATCATACCGTTACGGGGTAATTAATATATGTAATCATTACATTGGTTGTATCGTAGACATGGACTTCTACACAGCTACGAGTGTGTACGAGGAATCCAGAGACCACTAGGGCCGTTGAAGATCACGTCGCACATGTGAACGGTCGAGTGTATGAGCGCGTACGAGTGCAACAAGAGGGGGGGGGGACCCAGATGATCCGGTCTCTCTGTGCGTAATACTCCATTAATCATCACCAAGAGTACCCGGAAGCAGCGGAAGTGTGGAAAGACGATGATGGGATGACGATACGGACGGCACCGCCGGTTCATAGTATGGATAGAGATGTAGGTGTCACGATGGTTTACTCTACTATTATTACCCGTATCCATATCGTTCGTTATAAGGGACAAAAAACACTCATAATGGCAGTAACACAGCAAATGATGATTGTTGATTTTTTTTGATTTTTTTTTTTGTGCGTGCTGCTCTTGCACTCATACGCCGTTCGTACAGCAACAGCAGCCAGCAGCCAGCAGTCAGCAGCAGTAGCAACGACAACAACGACAACAACGGTAGATAATCCACCAGTGGGAAAAGTAACGTGTAATATTGATATGCAATATTACTCAGAGTAGTCGTCTTACTCATTGCTCCATACTCGTGCATGTCTATTCCGTACAGCTTATTCCGCACGGTATGTACGTTGTGTTATCGGTATCGTCGTGCGGGTAGACTGCTGTGCAACTCGTCAGGAGGCATGTAAGGAAGCCACGAGCACAGGGTATCACGAGTGGTAGACTGAAAGTAGTATCATTGCTCTCACTCCGTCCATCCGCATCAGCACGGGAAGCATCTGTCTCGGTAGCAGCACGGTCCGTGATGCATCGTAAGATGATGAGATTGGTCGGGCAGGCGGTCAGTTCCAGGGCGCGGCCCCGGTGGGTCATATTTGCTACTATGCACCCTCGGTCCCTTGGGTCCCCCTTCCGACAGTGTCGCTCCACGGGACCACAAGGGTCAGTCAGGCCAGCTTGCCGGTCGTGGAGATGTACAGCATGGGCTCGGTGCGGCACGAGGTACAGACCGACAGTCAGAAATATATGGATGAGCGGTGTCGGTGCCGAGGGGTGGAGGAGAGATGTAATAATACGTTGCCTACTGGATTCCTACATGACACTACTGTCCGTACAAGTGCACGTCACGGTAGCAAGTACGGAAGTACAGTAGTAATAACAGCCTGCGGGTACGAGTAGAAAAGGGTTAAGAGAGAAGAGAGAGGGGGGAGAGAGAGAGAGGGGGGGGAGAGAGAGAGGAGAGGGGAGAGAGAGAGGAAGAGAGAGGAGAGTAAGAGAGAGGGGAGAGGTTAGAAGGTAGAGCACGATTTTTGATGGACTGGGGTGGATAATCTCGGGGTCATTCGCAGGCTGTACGGCAGTCGTGATAGCAGAGGGCATAGAATCACGACAGGCAAGATATGCGTGTAATGGAGGAGGAGGAGGAGGAGGAAGGAGACGAAGAGGAGATCAAGGTGACCGACCACGTGCTCGACTGGACGGTTTCAAGTCCGAATGACATAATCATCTTGATTTTTTATGGCCCTGACAATGCTGCACAGCAACTGGCACAAAATTGAACGAACAATAAAAGTATGTACCGGAACCGGCCGTCAGGAACAAAAGGTAGGGAAAAAAGAAGAAAGGACGATAATAGCACACAAAAGGAGGAATGAGGAATGGATGCAAGTGGAATCCTATGGGTGGGTGGTGGCACGCACAGGGTACAAAACTGGTCGATAGGAGGGATTCACCTGGTTTCGGTATATCTCGTCATGAATTATTACCTCTTCTCTCTCTCTCTCTCTCTCTCTCTCTCTTCTGTTTTTCCCCTTCCTTTTCCCCTCTGATCAGTACATTCTACCGCCCCATCCATTCACCATCCATCTACCCACCATCCCACCCCGGCCAAGTCCACCATCATGATTCATCACCCTACAAGTATAGATCAATTACGGCTGTCCAGGGCTTTCCGGTCTAAAAGGCTTCTAGCAAAAGTCTTCCGTTGCTACGGAGTACCCGTAGGCGGCTGCGGCAACGGCGGACACGTAACTTGCAGGGGTATACGGAGTACTGTCACAGGCTTGTACCGTCACTGCCGGTACATATACAGCCCACGGGCTATCGTTACCGCCTACGGTATCGCAAGGTGTCGACAGTACTACTGGGTAATACCTGCTAATGGTCGCAGGGGGAGAGGCCCCTCTACGACGAGTACGAGTGTAATTCTCGTATGCGCACGGGCGCACACCACGCTTTGCACGCAGATTCACAAGTCTACGACATTTGGTACACTACCGCGCATTATTATCTTGGACCGGTTTGACAGCTGTACATGCATCATCATTGCTACGGCAAGTGTAAATCTGAACAGATTACTGGAGTATCGATGATGCATCATTCGCACCTTGGTAGGTAAGTCAATCATTGTGTGCTTTGTGCACCCACATCAAGTCTAGGCTTGCCAAGCGCCCTGTAGAACTCAATCCTCCAACTCCGTATTCTAGCCTGCATTACCTCGTAGTGACCTAAGATGGACGGATACAGAACCTATAGGCACTGGTCAGACACCTGTAGAGTCCCGGCCCCCCCCCCTCCCTCCAGGTCCTCTCTCC